CTAAACGAACCAAACCAACACCGCACCGTTTATCGGCAATTTAAGGCGTAAAGCCCGCCGATGCATGACTCACAGGTGCTCAAGTGATGGCGGTGTCTAGCTAAGCAGTTAAAAGAAGGGAAAAAAACTAAATAGTGTTAAGAAGTGTCTTAAAGGAATTCAGCAAAACTTTCAGTGAAGATGTGAGTTTTGAGTTGTGTTTTAAAAAGCTGAAGTGAGTCGGCGTTTCTGATTTCATCTGGAAGTGAATTCCATAAGGTATACGCCGCAGAGGTGAATGCCCGTGAGCCGTATGTGATGGTAGTGCTTTACGGAACTTTTAGAAGATTCTTAGAAGCGGATCGGAGAGAGCGTGTTTGCGTGTAAGGAGTCAGGAGTTCGGTGATGTATTCTGGAGCGAGATTGTTCATTGCCTTGTATGTTAACAGCAATGTTTTATAAATAATTCTTTTGTCGACAGGAAGCCAGTGAAGATCATATAGTATGGGTGTAATATGGATACGTCGCTTAGTTAAGGTAACCAGACGAGCAGCAGAATTTTGAATACTCTGTAGCTTAGCTATTTGTGTCTTGGGTAGTCCAGAGATGAGACTGTTGCAATAGTCGAGCCGTGAATTGAGAAAGGCATATATCAGACGTAGAGTAGTGGGTTTGTCGAGAAACTTTCTGATTTTTCCAATTTTACGGAGAGCAGCACAGGAAGAGCGACATACAGCATTGATATTGGACTTCATTTGTAGAGTAGAGTCGAGTATTACACCAAGGTTACGGACCTCTGTTTTTGGTTCGACCAGAAACTGATATGGTTGTAAAGACATGGCTTCAACTGCTCGAAAGCATGAAGAAAAACGAATTAATTCTGTTTTTTTTACATTGAGATGAAGCTTGTTAGCTAGAGACCATTGTTGGATACAGGCTACACACTAGTTGAGCTTAGTAAGAGAACTGGAGAGTTCACTTGGATGGAAATCGATGTATATCTGTATGTCATCGGCATACATCATGCAGCGTAGATTATGAGATGAAACAACATCTTCAAGTGGGGTGATATACAGTGTGAATAATAAGGGTCCAATAACAGACCCCTGCTGGACCCCATATGAAAGACTATGTTTGGCTGAGGAGACATCTCCAATGACGACAGATTGAGTTGGACAATTGAGGTAAGTGGCGATCCATTGGAGTGCCTTGTCTGTAATACCGAAGTGACTAGAAAGTCGGTGCAGAAGGATGGTGTGATCGACAGTGTCAAAAGCCGAAGAAAAGTCCAACAGGACGAGCAAGGCGTCGTGGCGCTGGTCAACTGCAGTCAGCAGATCGTTTTGAACACGGAGAAGAGCTGTTTCTGTGCTACAAAATTGACGATAGGCGGACTGCATTTTTCCAAGGAGATCGTTTTCCTGGAGGAAATATTTAAGTTGTGAACACACAATCCTCTCGAGTACCTTAGAGAGGAACGGAATGTTAGAGATTGGCCTAAAATTAGACAAATCCTCTGGATTCAGGTTATGTTTCTTAAGGATGGGTGTTACATGAGCATGCTTGAGGTTGGTTGGAAACACACCAGTCCTTATAGATTCATTCACAATATGAGTTATGATTGGTGAAAGCTGGTTGTGATGACCTTTCAAGAGAAGTGTAGGAATGGGATCGAGTTCACAGGATTTATTTCGTGATGCCTTAATCACACTTAGAACATCATCAGATGTAACACAATCCCAGCCACTGAGGCTCGAAGGTGGGTGCTTGCTAGGAGGGCGGGGCAAAGAAGTGTGGGTGCCAAGAAACTCCTTTTGAACATTCAAAATCTTGTTGTCAAAGAAAACTGCGAATCGCTCAGCAAGATCACTTAAGTTCATGTGGAACGGTAAAGTGGAACTGGTTGACGCAGTAGTTAGCTCGTTGATGAGTTTGAACAAATTGCTCTGGTCACATGATTTAATGAGATTCCTATGATGTTCTTGTTTGTATTTTGTAATTAATGAGTTATACTCTCTGCAGGCTATGTCAAACAAATCCTTGTGTATGGCAAGTTTGGTCTTAAGCCACCTTCTCTCCATTTGTCGCTTGGAACGTTTCTTAGCACGTCATTGTACCATACAGCATGAGGACGCAGGATAATTTTCCGGTCAGTGACAGGCGCATGCTGGTCTAGAATATTTCTCAAGACACAATTATATTGCTGGACTAGGATGTCTAAGTTTTCAGTGATATTGTTCAGATATCATCGGAAAACTGCTGGCTATCAATGCACTTAATGTTACGTCTGCGAACGTAGATGACAGCAAGAGGAGGACGGTAGACATTGATATTAGAAGTGATAGCCACATGATCAGAAGGAAGGTCGGAATGTGTTTTAGTTGAGGAAATAAGACTACTGATCCTGCGAGAAATGAGGAGGTCAAGTGTGTGACCTTTCTTGTGCGTGGGTGTGGTTATGTGCTGCTGGAGATCAGCAGAGTTAAGGATCTCAAGAAATGCACCAGAATCCCTGTCATCTTTGTTGTCAACATGAAAGTTGAAATCGCCAGCGATCATAAGTTCAGTAAAAATTCATCAAAGAAGAGGTTAACCGATAGTTTGTTTTTACTGGAAGGAGGTGGACGATACAAAACTAATAGCCTCAAACATGTTGACAAGGACGGACTTGTGACTGTCAAGTCAAGATACTCAAAGGACTTATAAGAGTCAACATCATACTGATGAACTTTATAAGTCGACTTGAGAAAGATGTGGTGTGGAAGTGACTTCTTGATATCAGACAGAGCAAAGCAGTCGCGCTCATCACCCGAGAACCAGGTTTCAGTTACTGCCATGATATCGATCTTATTTTCAATAACAAAATCACAAAGTGCATGTGTTTTCGTCCTTAAGGAACGTGAATTCCACAGTGCAAAACGAGATGGAACAAGAGATAAAGGTGGTTGGACAGTAGGGATAGGGATAATATTGTTTATTGTAATCCCCCTAGAAGGGTTCAGTTGTAAACTGTTTCCTCTACGTACAAGTAGAGGTATAGATCTATGTACATGGCGGCCGGCACGGCATCCTCTTGAACGAGACCTAAATAACCCGAGCTCCTTAAGTTTGCAAACAATTGAGTCAGTAAGAGGAGTAGGATTGTTCAGAGTAAACATTAACTTCCTGGAATATGAAAAACTAGAAGTGCCAGCAAGGTAGGCTGACACAGATCTGTAGCCAAAACCAAGGGCACTTGGAGCCCACTGGAGTCCTTGAATGGCCATGTCACACAATGGATAATGCAGGCCTATGTGGGCCTAGAAATAACCAAGTAAAACTGAGGCTAAGGCGACTTATCTGTTCAAAATGATAACACGTCAGTAAGTAAATCACAGTGTAATAAACCAGCTAAATGTGATGGTAAAAACGGTAAAGTAACAGAGCACAATCTACTCTTATGCGGCATGTCAAACAGCGCATGTTATACTACTCCTGTAGTCTTTGTCAACGCTTGACATAAAATGAACATATTGAGAAAGTTTCTTGGTAATATTTGAGAAACAATACGGTAATTAAATCAAAGCAAGTCGGCATATTATAAAGGATTAATGATATATGTACAAATAAACATCTTACATTACTGCTACGTTATATTTTATTCGGCTTTGATGGTGCTGCCCATGTTTCTTGTGCAACTGTAGCTAACTTTTACGTTGTTCTTGTTGAACAATTTGTGCAAGATGCT